GCTGAAATTGCTCTAAAGAAAAGAATTTTTAAAAGCCAGTGGGCCCTCTCCTGAGAAAGGGAGGGCTCAGCGTTGTTGGCCTTGCTGATGGGAGGCTGCCTGTACTGTCTGCCCCTAAATCCTGCTTTTTGGAAAGTCCCTAGCAGAGCCTCCTCCATCCCCTGTGAACGGTGTGGTGGCCGGGGAGGGAGGTCTCCACAGCTGCTGAGATGGTTCTTCTGCCTCTCCCAGGATGTTTGATGTCGGTGGCCAACGGTCGGAGCGGAAGAAGTGGATCCACTGCTTTGAAGGCGTGACAGCAATTATTTTCTGTGTGGCCCTCAGTGATTATGACCTTGTCTTGGCCGAGGACGAGGAAATGGTAGGTAATGGGAGCGTTACCAGTGCCTGGCTGCATGGCACTGAAGAAGGGAGGTGCAAGCAAGTGCAGACCTCTCCTGCGCAGGTGTGGACGTGTCTCTGGCTCGCTCCCCATGTTACAGTTGTTCAAGGGCTGTGAAGATGAGCACTTCCTCGCAGCAGCCTGCAGTATTTTGCCCCAGAAACTGATAAACATAATGCATAAATGAGATTTTTCTCCAGGCTCTGGTTACAGGGAGGTGCCTTGAATTGCCCCTGCAGCCTGTTCCCTAGGTGTGAGTACCTCCGAGGAGGAGCAGACGCATCCTGGGTGAGCTCCAGGATGAGGAGGTGACCTGGCCGCTGCTCAGAGTTGTGCCCGTGCTCTTCCTGGTGAAGTGGCAGTGGGGATATGTCGGTGACACTCGATTCTTTAGTCTGGCCTTTGTAGTAAAACCTGTCTGTCCCCCTGCCCCATCCTCCCCTAATAATTCTGGGGTGATGCATCACCCTTTCCATTTTATTTTTCAGAACCGGATGCATGAGAGCATGAAACTGTTTGACAGCATTTGTAACAACAAATGGTTTACAGACACCTCGATCATTCTCTTCTTGAACAAGAAAGACTTGTTTGAGGAAAAGATTAAGAAAAGCCCACTAACGATCTGCTATCCAGAGTACACAGGTAAGGCTGGGTTGGTGAAGCTGTGTTTTCATTTGTGGTCAGGGCCAGGAATGAGTCGACCAAAGCCTACACAATAACTTAAAAGCTTATCTTTTTCCTTGTTGCCTCAACTCTGTCTCTTGGGCAGCATCTCTGGGCTGTCCAGTTAGCTGATAGCTCATCCTCTTGGAGGAGATGTGGTCGTGCATCTCTGTGGGTCGGAACAGCCTTTGTCCCTGTGTTTTATGGCTTGGAGTACGAATAGCAAAGTATCGCGCACCAGCGAATCGAGGTCACTCCGCATTTTCCACATGTTATTAGGGCAATACTTTCATTTAACTTCAATTTTAGAGGCTATGAAGCTTACCCACGTCCTGGGCATGGCACTTGTCCACCGGGCTGTGTCTGTGTTTCAGCAACAGTCCTTCCCTGCTGCGGCCCCGCATGGACCTGACGCTTCACCTGGTCACTTCTCGAGACCTTTAGATTTTTGAACGGTCCTTCCTTCAAACCTGCTTATTCCTGTTATTTGTCACTCTTCTGCTGTAACTAGACGTATCTAGCGTGAAGCATTACTGTAGCCAGCGTTCCCTTCTCGTGATCTCTGGGCCGGGAGGCTGGAGCAAGGAGCGGTAGGTGAGTTGCAGGAGTGACTTGTCCAAGGTCACTGACCAGAAGCTGGGAATAGACTTCAGATTTACAAGAAGGGGTTAATGGTGGATTTGGATTTGTGGCTGGATAAGGCAGATGGTTGCAAGCAGCTTAATACGTACTTAAAAGATCTCTCTGCTGTGAACTGCTGGCCAAAGGAAGGGATCTTATCTTTTTCAGGCTCCAACACGTACGAGGAAGCAGCTGCGTACATCCAGTGTCAGTTTGAAGATCTGAACCGGCGAAAAGACACCAAGGAGATCTACACACACTTCACCTGTGCCACTGACACCAAGAACGTGCAGTTTGTGTTTGATGCCGTTACAGATGTTATCATTAAAAACAACCTGAAGGAATGCGGACTCTATTGAGGAGGAAGGGGCGTGGGGAGAAGGTAAAGCTGAGCTGCTGGTGGCGTTTGAGCGTTGCACGCCAGCTCGGGCTGGCTTTGCCTTGCACCTCGCTAACGCTGGCTGTTTTCTTTTCAGTTTTTACGATGTGGCGTTTTGAGAACCAGACGCTTTGCTGCCTCGTGGGGACAGCTGCAAGCATGAACAGGACCAGGGAAACGAAAACAGCATGCAGAATCGTTGCATTCTTTAGCACAATCTTCTGTATTAGGGACCTTTTTATTGATATGGGGTGTTGAAGTTAGGTCAAGATGGAACAACTGTTAGTGTGACTAGATCATCCTGGCATCGTTTGGATGGCGTGATCTCAAATGTGTACAGCTGTTGTGAAGTTGAGGTGCTGGATTCCAGACCTTCGATATGTAGCTTTCTCTCTTTCTTTGGTTAACAAGCCACCACTAGTCTGTTTTTAAGGTTTTTTCCATCAAGAAAACTATAACTTTACTAAATTTTATTTCTTTATTTGCAAACGAATCTTGTTTTAAAAATAAAAAAACAACAAAAAAAAAATCACTTAACTATGCACATGTGACCAGATCATGCAGAAAGTATTCCTCTTAGCAGGAACTCCTTGTTTTTAACACTTGGTATGGTCAGGATTTAATATTTCTGCAACTACTTAAAGGATCCTTAGAGCTCTTACGGCGATAGCTTCGGCTTTTCCTGATGTGTAACTTGTTACCATCCTGCTACCATAAGGCTTTTGAAAGAAGCTTCTGCAGCAGGATGAGCGAGTCTTTTTAGCTTATGGTTGGGGGCGAACCTGTTTTTTTGCCGATATCCAAATTGAGATTCATTCTGTGTCGTAAGCATAAAAGCCAGCTTCACAGCGAGCGTGTGTCTGGGCGGTGTCCCTTGGAGAGATGAAATGCTGAGCTCCAAACGGGATGGGAGACGCGTGCTGCTACAGAGCTACTCAATCAACCACTTAAATTCTTGTGCATTTTGGTCTAAACCGGTGGGCAATTTTGTAAAGGGTGCACCTTGTTCTGCATTTACCATGGCCTTTTCTGTTCAGACTCCTAAACTGTATTGATGAGCATGCCTTTACTTTGTATATGTGGTGCCAAATTCCTGTTTGCCATTGTTTTTACCGTAGTAATGTTTGTAACCAGTCAGTACATTCCTTTGCTGAACCATTGCATTGAGACTCTCTTTCCCAGTTTGTCATGTGTACAGTTTCAATCTGGTAGAGTTGTTGGCAGTATTAAAATGGTGAGTAAAGAGTTTAGCCTTTTCTCTAGTTTATTCTTAATTTTTCCAGGAGCGTTCCCTCGCTTTTGTGCTTTGCTGGAGAAGGAAGGCGAGCGCTTCGATGGGAAATGGGTGTAAGTTAATGGGATGGGAAGGTTCCCCACGCTTTATCGTACACGACTCTTGGTGCTCCCTGCGCAGCCACTTCTGCTGCTCCCAAAGACTGATGGAACCCGGCAGGCATCCAGGTGTTCATCAGGATTATTGGCAGATGGTTAATTTACCGCTTATTTATAGCGCAAGTCCCAGCGCCGCTTCCGAACCCGCTGGGGAAGCGACGGCACTGGATGCCCGTACGTGCTGTAGCTGTAACCCGTTTTGAAGACTCTTGCCTGGAAATACGGACTGAAATACTTCAGGGGTGCTTGTGGGTGCTGCGGAGGGCTGGCTGACTGACACGCAGCACTGCTCAGCGGCTACAAAGAGTTTATTTCTGTTCTGGAACCTTCTCCCGAGCTGCCCTGAGCTCTGCTGACTCCCTGACGATTCCCTCCCAGCCTGGAGGCTTTACCACAGCTTGGCACGGACGCGGGCTGGGATGAGCCGCCTGCTAGAGAAATTCATGCGAACGTCCCCAGCCGCAACAGAGCCCGTCAGGGTCCCAGTACGCGCCTTGGCGTGCCCCGGGGGGAGGGTGCTTTGGCCGGGAAGGGATTTTTTCGGTGGGTGGTGGCCATGTGGCACCTATGTGCGCGTCGGTGACCCCGCTCCGCTGCGCCGGGGCGGCTGGCTGGTCTCGGGAGGGGGATCCCTGTGCGCACCCACTGCGGAATGAACGCGAGGAATGTGAAATACTCCCGGATCCAAGCTCTCGGACACCGGACCCGGAGAAATCAAAGTGGGAGAAATGATAGACATCCATGTCATGCATATATCTTTATTTTGTTTTTCCTACAGTTAAAGGAAGCTGTATATGCGATCTCTGCAGTGAACAGCGAGAGGATACAGGACTTGTCTACAGTTCCAGCGTAGATTTATTTACAAACAGCAAAGAGCAAATACAGCTCTAAATAGCAGAATGAAAAATCTTTCAAGTAACCATTTCCTCTTTCTTCAGCCCGTTCCTCTTCGGTAGGAGTGATTGCCTCCCCCAGACCCTAATGCGAATCCTCCTGCCTGCTCCTGCCTCTGCTTGCCTGCCATCAGCTACAACCTGAGCCGTGCTCTGGGGAGAAACTTGCTCCCTTAGGGCACAAAAAACCCCAAAACCCTAATTCATCCTGCCAGAGGACTGAGGCTGGTTACCAGGAGTGCCTCATAGGTAACCCAGCCTCCACCTTCCCCAGAAACTCCTGCTTTGATTAATTCAGCTTTGATAAAAGGGAAGAAACCAGCTGCAGAGGGAGGGGAGCCCGTCCCTGCCTCGGGCAGAAGCGAGCCGCCGGCTCTCCCGGAGCTGCACCAGGCTGCAGGTACGACGGCTTAATATTAATTTTTCCGGCCGGCGTGCTCTTTGGTCTCAAACCACTCCAGATCTCCTTTCCAAGCGCTGCAGGGAGCAGGGGTTTCTTGCTTTTTTTTGAAGAAAAAAAGAGGAAATGGCCACGAAAGGGAGAAGGAAGTTCAGCTTCAGCCCCTTCCTATTTTGGGCTTGAAAGTAGGTGGCTCGGTTGGGCAGGTCATAGAAAAAGTGGGGTCGGAGGAACTTTTATTTTTTGGTTAATCCTTTTGGCTCTGCTCAGCAGAACGGCGGTGCGATTGAAGTCCTTTCCTCTTCTAGCAGGGAGGAAGAAAGAAGAAGGGGTTAAACGCTTTCGGTCAATGGCGTTAAGGTTGTAACGGCGCGACGGGCGGGAAGGGAGGGTTTAGAGAAGCGACTTTTCATCGCGCCACGCTCGGCCATGGGAAAAAAAAACTTCATCGGCTTAAACGCCCTGACCCAGGCAGCGGCAAAAAGCCGGAAGGCGAGGCTGGCGTAAGCGCTACGCTTTTTTCCTTCTCTATGAACATTCAGGGACGAGGGCAGCGCCGGAGGGTCCCCGCAAAACAAAGCCTCGAAGCCGGCGGCTGGGAGCTGCTGCGAAAGCGGGGAAGAAACTCCCACCGCCGCTCAGGCGCGCGAGTTCGGAGGAGTTAAGGTTATAAACCCTAATTAAACCTTGATGATGACGAGCTAAAAGGCCAGGAGAGGCGGTGTGGGGCAGGGGCTCCCCGTGCCTCCTCCC